TCTGGGGAGCTCAAATCGGCAATGAACCCAGTTAAACTGAGGCTTTAGTTATAATCATAATATTAATATAACCCGCATGGCGTGGTGGTGAACGCGCTACTCCCCAGAAAGGACAATAGCACGTTCGCTCCCCACCGNGAATGAAACATTGTAACAACACGAATTTCCTCAGGAGAAAAGTTTCCACTAAGTGCTAAAAATACAACTCGAGTCATTGCGAAATATTGAAAGTACATTTAAATTGCCGTAGATACAGCGGTAATGTTTGGCCTATTCACACTCGATCATCCTCCTTTTCCACGATGGTTTTCATTCATCCCACATTCCTAATGCTTCCTCTTCTGCTCGTTTCGCCGCATCTCGTTGACTGAAATAAAGATGACGTCAGCTCGATCAAAGAACTTTAATGATTTACTTAATGTAGTGTCCAACAATGCAAAAAATCCAAGAAACCTTGATCATTTTAACTAAGCAGACCACTTGATCACTCTACACAAAACAATGAACTTGAACGAGATCGAAGAATAGACGTTATAGGCATTGAATGGACGTAAGCTCTAGATAATCCGTGAGAAAACCAATTATTGGTATTGACCGTCTGGCCAGCTTTGCCTCTCTGGTGATACGCTCCACCTCATCACGTTCCTCTTCCGGTACGTAGCGATTTCGGTCCGGGATTCGTGGATCCTGATCGTCTTTCCACTCCTCAATGAGATCCGGTAGGCGTTCTTCTAACGAGCAAACGCTGTCAATGTACGCCCGCATGGCTTCTCCCTTAGTTAACCCTGGAATACAATGATTTCAATAGCCTTAAACGTTTTATTTACTGCCTAGTCTTTTTGATGGCAGGGTATATTGCGAAATATAATTTCAATGATCCTGAGATGTTTGCAAAACTCCGGACCGCAGGTGTCTGCGGCGGGGAGCGAACGCGGTATTGTCCTTTCCGGGGGCTAACGCCTTCGTCACCACACCATGCGGGTCCTTCGTCTCGCCTATCTCTCAGCTAGTTCTATCGATCTCTGCCATCAGCAATCATCCGCCAGCGGGATTGATCTGGGGAGCTCAAATCGGCAATGAACCCAGTTAAACTGAGGCTTTAGTTATAATCATAATATTAATATAACCCGCATGGTGTGGTGGTGAACGCGCTACTCCCCAGAAAGGACAATAGCACGTTCGTTCCCCACCGCAAATACCTGCGGTCCGGAGTTTTTCAAATATCTCAGCATCATTGAAGTTAGATTTTAATAGTTTTTTACTTATATACAAGTAAAACCTTAAACACATACATTAGTAAACGATCTTGAATCTATAAAAACTTCATTCAGAATAAAATTGTGATACTAAGAAGGTCGCCGATTCTCATAACAGTGAACTAGAATGAATTTCACACTAATGTCTTGCAATATCCATCCCACATATACTTGCTTATAACCTTGCTTTACAAAGTTGTTAACAGTTCTTGGCCACCGATTTTATGTTTCACGAGGCTAAGGAAACCTGTTGAAACCGCGTTACTCTCAAATGCAGTATATGTCAACGCCCAAGTTGCTACCAGAACGACTGTGATTTCTNCTCAAATCGGCAATGAACCCAGTTAAACTGAGGCTTTAGTTATAATCATAATATTAATATAACCCGCATGGCGTGGTGGTGAACGCGCTACTCCCCAGAAAGGACAATAGCACGTTCGCTCCCCACCGCAAATACCTGCGGTCCGGAGTTTTTCAAATATCTCAGCATCATTGAAGTTAGATTTTAATAGTTTTTTACTTATATACAAGTAAAACCTTAAACACATACATTAGTAAACGATCTTGAATCTATAAAAACTTCATTCAGAATAAAATTGTGATACTAAGAAGGTCGCCGATTCTCATAACAGTGAACTAGAATGAATTTCACACTAATGTCTTGCAATATCCATCCCACATATATTTGCTTATAACCTTGCTTTACAAAGTTGTTAACAGTTCTTGGCCACCGATTTTATGTCTCACGAGGCTAAGGAAACCTGTTGAAACCGCGTTACTCTCAAATGCAGTATATGTCAACGCCCAAGTTGCTACCAGAACGACTGTGATTTCTGGAATATACTTATTCTTTCTTAGGGGACCTAAAAACGCGCTTCCAGCTATGGTGAGACTACAAATCATTAGTGCGACCAGTGAGCGACAAGAAAAGTCGTATATGCGGAGCAAGCGAGGAATTTTTCAGCTGTGTTTGGAAACAAATGAGAACCAATATTTTTCCAAACCCTCCTTCGATTGCTGAGCTAAAATATAGCTTAACAATCCAAGTGTGTACAAATGAGAACGATTCGAAACGACTCTTTTGACGATAATAAATAAGTTGGAAGAACAATATCATTAACCTTTACACTTATTCCATGCATGCCATTTCCTGTTGCCTTTTATCCATGACCACATCCACGATCTCTCGACTGGATCCATATAGTCGAGCTCTGTAACGGCATTCAGCACCTTTTTCTCATATCCAACAACAAATGACGGCATAATAGCATCCTTCTCCTTTACTCCCATATAACCGATTTGTTTCTACAAGAATAAATCACTTGACTTTTCCCTTTTTTAGTAGAAAGCCTGGCTTTAAACAAAGCCTCATTTTGTTCACTCTTGTTCATAGTTTTGTAATATAAACAAGGTTGCTACCGACTTGGAACATTGATATTTCCGACGACAACCTGCTGGTACAGTCCCCATATGGGATAAGTCTCTTCTTCGAAGCGAATTAATAGCTCAAATTCATGCTTTAACACCTGAAAAGGTGTAAATCATTTGGTAATGGGGTGGTCAATAAAGGACTTTACTGACGAAATAATATTTCATAACAGTAGTAGTAATTAACCGAACGAGGAAATACGGAATACAACCTGTCTCTGATCAAAACGAGCTCTCAGTTTCTTGAATTTTTCGACTGCTTTGATGAATTCCTTAAAAAACCAGCTCTAAGGCCATATAATGGTAAACAATGAGGACCACATGTTTAGTAAATATTACAATTCATCTCCACGTCCGACTATTTCATTTGCATGAAATATCTCAAAGAACATAATAAAAAGAACTAACCGTATCGTTCAACTGCATGGTTCAGAAATTTTCCGTGAAGCGTTGATTAGAACCACATAGAATTAGCTTCAATTTCCTGTCTTCAAAATTAGGCACCCTTACGCACTTCTGGTCATGTCGACTTGTAAGAATCTTAGTACGGTTTATGAATAGTTTTGCTAGAGGAAAATTCACTGGTTTGTGCACTATCGAAGTTGACAAGTGGATATGAACATTTGCATGAGGTACTTTCTTTGTAAGATGTGGCTATTCGAGAGAAAATGAAAGGAAAAATGTAAGAAAACACATATATTCAAAATGCCGAACAGATGGGAATGTACACGTATGAATGACCTGACTACAAAGAATAGAGACGAAGGAGAGTGAAGTTAATCCTCGGATAGTCAATGTTGAGTTTCGAATACTGTGATATCTCATATTAAATGGCTATTCTACGATCTTACTCTTCCCTATCGTGCAACTGACTCATGGCGACGTCCGCTCCATTTCAAAGTGGCTAGCTATTCAAACACTTGGCTACTATCTTNTCCCTATCGTGCAACTGACTCATGGCGACGTCCGCTCCATTTCAAAGTGGCTAGCTATTCAAACACTTGGCTACTATCTTCATGATTAAGGGAGAGTATTTTTACTCATGGAAACACAAATGAAGATATAAAACCTCATAGATGATGAAATAAACAAGGTTAGCTATCCAAAATCAAAGAGTACATCTGATTGATCCATCGGAAAATTTTTCCCATCTTTCATTTTAATACTAGAAGGATTCATCGGTGCCTACCAGCTTAAGTGCAACTCTATAGAGCGAGTTTGTCTTACTTATTTCTTTAGTATTCCATATCTCTTTTTAAAGGCGTCGTTGCGATTCACTCTCTAATTTGAGTTGGAGGAAAGTTCTTCAACTGCGACGACCTGAACGCGCATGAGAGAGCCACAGATAAACCCACTACGACGCGTCTTTCGCCCGCAATAATACTAGCTTTTCGACCATTCAAAATAACTCGTTGCGTTCCTAATTAGCATCACCAATTTTCTTTACATGACCCATCATCATATTTTCTGTGTGGATCCCAGCGCTTCTTGCATATGACTCGTTTTTATGGCATTCGTCCTTCACAATGGTCTACGAACAGGTAGCCGAGCTGAGGCGTTTTCACGTCGATTGGAGGAGAGCGTTGGGAAGGAGATAAGGAATCGAACCAGCACCTTTGCTTCCTAGTACCACTAACCACTTGAGAATTAACGATGGAAATGTGAAAACGATTTGTTAAGATGTCATCGATGATAAAACCTCATATGAAGAGATACGTAGCGGTTACACGCTTGCTTTAGAATTTTTAAAAATTTTGATCTATTTCATGGTCGTTTCTTCGAAAATCAAAGTTCTAAATATATATATATTTAACTCAAAACACCAACTTTCTATATTTCTATGTTCTTATTAACCAATCTTGATAAGCTAATCTGAAGTTGGTGTAAAGTGTCGCTGTTGTTGTTGGTCGTTGGCTAACGTCTCAGCGATTCCGTCTTCCTCAGAACTTGGACGTTTTTTATGTAGCAATTGTTTTATGTAACGGCTCACAGCTCAAGGATGTGAGGGGCGTTCGCGAGAGTGCGCAAGAGCGATGAACCGCTTGTGAGGTACCTGTGAGCAATGAACGTATTTATCTTATGTTAACACAGATAACATACGAAAACCAACGATAACATTAATGTGTCAGCGATTCAAGGACTAAGGATTACATGTACTGTCATTATGACCTAAGCAAATCTGATTGGGTAATTCTCTATATTTTACATGTTTTTAAATTTTTTCGGCAAACGTTTCGACGATAAAGATAGTAGCCAAGTGTTTGAATAGCTAGCCACTTTGAAATGGAGCGGACGTCGCCATGAGTCAGTTGCACGATAGGGA